TTTATTAATATTGTTAATTTATTTGGTACCTACTATAATTACCACGATTATTACTCCGTTTTCATAAGGCCCACCTAATGACTACAACGATTAGGTAAATTACGATATTGCAAAGTTTTAATGAAACAAATAAAAAATGTGTATGAATATTTTAACTAATTGTACTAAGAATTTTTCTTTCATTCTTAACCCTCTCAAAAATTAATAAGCACGCCCCCGATTTGCTGTCAACTGGGCTTACTTCTACTCTCAATCATTATTGGTTTTAGTATAGAGGTGGAAACGAGTACATAGGAGTTTTTTTTTGATCCTGTATTTGGAACAGTTACAAAACAGTTCTTTAACAGTTCTCACAAAACGAAACAGAAAAATCCGTGTTCCCTTATTTGTGGTGGTGCCATTTATTTTTCCTTAGTTATCACAGTTAGAATTATTGGAATTACAATTAGAAATATCACAATTGTAGATGAAATGAATGATCAAGAACTCAAAATTATCAACCGAAAATAATTTTCCCCTCAATATGAACAAATGTAAATACTCAAAATACACCCTTAAACATAATGTTATTTCTCATGATTACTGCAAAAATAACACACCTCTTCAAATGAACACTCATCAAAGGGATCTTGGTGTCACATTTGACCTTAAACTGAGTTTCTCCGTTCACTATGACACAATAACATGCTCAGCCAAAGGATGCTAGGGCTCATTTATCGTAACTGTAAGAACTTTTGTAACAGAGACAGTTTTTTAACTCTTTTCAATGCATACGTCAAATCTCGGCTGGAATATGCCTCCCTTATATGGTCACCCATATACAATGTCCACATAAACAAAATCGAGTCTATACAAAGAGGCTTCATGAAATATATTACTTACAAGCTAGAAGGAGTTTACCCTGAACAAGGCATCGACAACAGAATATTACTGAATAAATTTAATCCATTATCCCTTCAAAACCAAAGAACTTACTACTCTATAATTTTCATTTATAAACTAGTGAATAATCTGATTGACTGTCCCGAACTACTCTCCCAGTTCACAAATCAATTCTAGAAATGAACTGACTTTTTATCTACCAAATTCTAGAACAAACATATTTCTCAAGTCACGAGTTGTTGCAATGAGCAAACTTTACAATCAACTCTGTGAAAATCTCGACATTTATTATGAACCTATTGGTCAAGTTAAGAACCACGTTAAGAAACTTTTATACTCTAGTCAAAATACATGAGCCCAAATTGAAAGTTATTGTATCATGCGAGCTTAGTACTACTACTGTATTACTGCTGAATTGTTTTTTTTGTAATACACCTGAACTATGTTTTTACTTGTTAGCTCTATATCTGACTTATGGTTTTTTATTCAATTACACTCCTAGCTAGCTAGCTCCACCCAGATGATGAGATTGAACAAATATTCTTTAGTTTCTCTATAATTTCTTTATAAAACAACTGATCTATATCTAGAAATGTTTTATAGTGGTCTCAAAATATATTATTTTCTATTTAGGTGTATGAGGAAGATTCTGTGCTCTTAACACTCTGAAATATTTCCCAAGATTAAAAGATTATTGACAGAAACACAGTAGGTTCATTTATCCAAGGCCTTCGATTGTATAGATCACAATATTTTGCTTCGCAAACTTTTCAAATACGGTATATGAGGTAACACTTATAACTGGTTCAACTCATATCTTGAAAACAGAAAGCAGATAATACAACTCAACCAGAAAAACAAAACAGTTAGATCATCATTAGGAGTCCCGCAGGGTAGTATTGTGGGCCCAATACTATTCATTATTTTTATCAATGACATCAGCGAGGCTACAAAAAATGTAAAGTCTGCTCACCTAATCAACTATGCTGATGACACCAGTCTCCTGCTAACTGGTGCCACTTTACCAGATATTAATTATCAAGAATGGATGTGACGTAATCAAACAATGCAAAGAATATTTTCTTGAGAACAAGTTAATTCTAAATGAAGGAAAAACTTACTGCCTCATATTTAAAACCAACAACAGTTTAGAAACACCACATCATGTAACACTTGGTAGTGAAAAACTTATTTGAAATACTTCAGTAAAGTTTCTGGGAATCAGCATTGATGATACTTTCAGTTGGACAATTCAGATAGACAATATATGCAGTAGATTGTCTTCTGTAATATATGGGATAGGGGTACTTAAAAAATATGTTGATCTCGAAGTATTATTAACTACTCAATCATGAGGCTAGGAATAACTGTTTGGGGTTCAAGTAATGAATTATTTAAAGTTTTTCTGTGTCAAAAAAGAGTGCTACGAGTACTTTTCAATAAAAATTCTAGAGATTCCTGTAGGGGAATTTTTAGGCCGAATAAGTTGTTCACTGCACTGCCGTTTCAAAGATATATACTGCTGACTTGTGTCAGCAGCAGTTAGTATTGTCTTTGAAACAATGAAATTTCTAACTGCTCACCCAAATCTTTTCGAGAAATACCGTAAAACCCACTTTTATGAAACAAGACATAAAAATGATTTTGCGTATCCCATTCACACTAAGGCATTGTATGAGCGTAGCACCATCTATCAAGCGATGAAATTCTATAACAGAATCCCCCAAAATATACGCAACATTGAGGTTGTAGGCAGGTTTCTGAGGTCTTTGAAAGAATTCCTTCTCGATCAGGAGCCCTACAGTATTGAGGAATTTTTCAAAATGTGTAAAAATGCAAAAGTTCCATTTGAATCAAATTTCTTTAGTCAAAAAATTGTAGTCAGTGTATGATGTATCTAAAAAAGTGTGATGTATTTTAGTTTTTTTAGCATTTACTACTATATATTTAATTTTTGAGCTCCTTGTGTGATTTTTGACAGTCCATATTTCCTGAAGTGTATGTAGATTTAAGATTTTGTATTTTGTTGACGTACTTTTACAGACAACGTATTCTGCCACTGTGTTCATGTAGGACTACAAATACTCTGTAAAGTAAATAAAGATATCTATCAAATGCCTATTGAAAAAAAACTACTTCCCCGGCTAATACCACGCTGGACATTGATTTATATGCGACAGACATTTATGCAAGATACCTCACAAAGGTTCAATCAAGTAGATCACCTATCGACCGATTTCGAGGTAATACCTCTCATCAGTGCAGGAAAGATCCAGTCCTAGGCACACTGGTCGTAAAAAACTCAAGGACCAATAAATAAGGCCAATAAAATAAAAATAATCTGTGTTTCTGTTTAAAATCTGTTTAAAAATAAAAATAATGAAATAAATATTATTTGAAAAGAGGATGGAAATAAAATAGAATCAAAACACAAATGTACAAAAAAAATTGGGAGAAGATTTAATAAAATGGTACAATTTCAAAATTTACTAATACCATTTTCATATCTATTGGAGAAAACATGTCCCTCTATGAAGACATTATAGTATGAGATCCAATACCTTGCAGTGCTATTTCGATCTGCCATAGATGTTATCTATGGTTTGTCAAAATAGCGCTATACGATGTCGTTTAGCGATTTTTGGCCAATTTTACTCTATGAATTTTGAACCAAAGCGCTGGCGAAATAGCCCGAAAAATTAACCATCTGTTTGGCAATTATAGTGTTAACGAACGCACTGTTTCAATATTGGTTTGCAAAATATCGTTCCAGAGATTTCAGCCTCTTAGATGAGCCCTGTAGGTCGGCCTACAGTTATCCAGTACAAGGATTTGAGGACTCTGGTGGAGACTGATCATTACAAATGGTGTGCGAGATGGCAGAAAAACTGAGCGTTAGCTTCCATGCGGTTTTTGATGGTTTAAAACGTAGGGGAAAGGTCAAAGAGCTCGAAAAGTGGGTGCCCTACGATTTTTGGCCAGAAATTGTCACATTTCGAGGTTTGTTCTTATTTGGTCCTTCAATCAGGACCAGGCAAAAACGGCCTTCGTCAACTTGATCGAACACCCAATTTTTATGCTGACAGAATTAATTGACCTGTGTTAGGTGGCAAAAGTACACTGATTCAAATAACCCTTTTTTCGATTGAATTAAGTAAGTGTACACTGATATGTTACAGTTTGAAGTAGACCCATAAAATCGGAAAAACATTTTTAATAAAATCTATGCCCTGTTAGATAAAATATGTTGTATCTGCAGCATCATTTTCAAAATTTCCTTTTGTAGTTGAATATGGAACTTGAATTATATTATGTTTATTTTCAGGTGCTGCAAATGCCTACCATTTTTCTGAAGACCCGGCATTTGACCGATGGTTTGACACAATCCTGGTGTTAGATGACAGAGAAGCCTACCAACTCAGTTGTCAGATCGAACCGTCAGCAGGTACCAACAATTGTAAAACAAAGAAACGTACTTCGGGCCACCAGAAAAATGACTCGATTGCAAGCACCTCAAGCAGCAATAGTTCCCAGTTTTACTGTGATATCGACAGCACTCCCAGTTCCCCCCACAACAGCATCGACAGGAAACTCAGTCCGTCACAGATGTCCAGTTCCAGCAGCAGCTCATCCATACCTTCTCTGGACATCTCGTTGAACAGTTCACATTCGGGCAGTGCGAATAATAAATTGCAAGTGCCGTTTAATAATTCTGGGACTTTGAGTAATAACTCGCAGAAGAGCAGTCCAGATTTCTATATCATTAAGGTGACATACGAGACGGACAGTGTGGAAACGGATGGCATTGTGTTGTACAAAAGTATTATGTTGAGTAATAATGAAAGGACACCTCAGGTGATACGGAATGCCATGTATAAATTGTGTCTGGAGGGAAATCCTGATCAGTACACTCTTGCTCAAGTTCTGCCTGATAAAGGTGAGTTTGAAGTTTCTCACTTTGATCAGGTAAAGATATTATTCATGATCTCATAAGGTTCAATGAAATTATTATTCAGTAAGTGAATACTCTGGATACGTACATAATCTTTATTATATTTATATACATTATTAGAGAACAGGTCACAGTGGTAAATGGCGTGAGACCAAACGCGAGAGAAATACATCTAGGTGTACCCCAAGGATCCATTCTGGGACCGCTATTTTTTATCATTTTTATAAATGACATTAAAGATACCTGCACTACGTCAAATCAGATGATTGTCTATGCCGATGACACAAATATACTTATGTCAAATAAAAATACTGAACAACTAGTAAAAAAGAGTAATGTGGCCTCTAAAGAAATAAGTAACTACTACTTAAATAACGGCCTCACGGTGAAGGTCGCCAAAACTTACCACATGCGTTTTCTGCCAAAAAATGTTGCACCCAATTCTGAGCTATACCTGTTAGTCTCTGCCAGTTCCATTCAGAGTAAAAAAACTATAAAATTTCTGGGTCTCACTTTGGATCAGAAACTATCATGGGAAGCACACATACAAACATTGTGTTAAAAAATGAGCACTTCCTGTTATATAATAAGAAACTTAAGAGAAACTGTTTCACATGACGTTTTAAGAACACTTTATTTTGGGTTAGTTCAGTCAGCCCTACATTATGGACTGATCTTCTGGGGTTCTTCCTGTCATTTTAAGGAGGTATTCCGTGCACAAAAGAAGGTATTGAGGACTATGTTCAATGCCCATCCAAGTTCAACCTGCAAACCTCTATTTGAACAATTTCAAATAATGACGCTGCCTTGTCCTTATATATCTCAGTTAATAATGTTTGTAAAGGAAAATGAAATAGAGTTTAAAAAGCTAACACAGTAGCTTTATCAACAGTTATTTGTATTCAACAACGATTTGTATTCAAATCACTGTTGATAAAGCTACTGTGTTAGCGAAACATGTCGTGATATATTTTTCAAATAAAGTTTGTGGAGATCAAATCGTGAAGTATAGTTTATGAAATTTTTGGAATTGTTTTCCACATATTTTGTGAAAATATGGAGAAATAGAAAACCAAAACCTTTCTTTCACAATAACATTTATATTCATCCAATCTCCTTTTGAAGTATTATTTTTGACGGCGTTTTTTTTTTTACTTTCAGAGATGGTCCTTCCTCCAAACTCCAACGTTTATTACGCAGTAAACACTCAGTACAACCTGAACTTCATTTTACGTCCTAAAAAGACTGAAGAGAAGGACACTCCCGGAAAGAACTCGAAAAGTAAATACAAATTGTAGTTTTTGATATTGTATACGGAAAGGATGAACGTTTTATTCCTGAACGATTTTCGTAAAGTATATATTGGTGAACTCTTTGAGCTGTTTATGACAAATAATCAATGAAACAAATAACATCTGTGATAAAGCACAAAATACTCTCATCATCACGTTGTGTGGTAATTTTAATTTATTTAGAAAATGTAACAATGTAACTAACTCTCTTCGCTAACAAACTAATTGTTCAGTTTATTATTTTCAAACGTGCAATTTCGAGCAACATTGCTTTTTACCTAAACTGAATTTTATAAAACTAAAACTTTCGCATGGAGGAAGTAGATTTGTCTTCAATTTATAGATATTTTTGACAGAATTTATATTAGGTTCATTAGGTGTCGACTTTCTCATATAATTCAATGTTGAGGAATGTGTAGATAATGTATGTATTAATTGTAAAGAAATGTGTATTGATTTTGTGAAAAAGTGGTGTAATTGCTAGGACCAATTCCTTTTCCAACCGACCAATCTTTTAGCAATATTGTAATTTTTGATGCCTGAGTATCTCTAATATAGTGGAATTAATGTCAAAGCAATGGTTAACCCTTTGCTACTTAATTGTAAATAATTTTGTAATATCATAAACAGATTTATTTTTATTGTATTTTTCTATTAAAAACACCTTACTAGTGAATATAGTTTTTTATTTCAGGTTATCTGAAAGTCCACTGAAAATCCACAAATATACAATTTTGAAATAGGGAAATGATTTAAGAATTCGATATACAATAGGGACATACAATACAATAGGGCATACTATACAATAGGGACACACAATACAATACAAGATACAATACAATAGATACAATACAATACAAGATACAATACAATACAAGATACAATACAATAAGGACATACAATACAATAGGGACATACAATAGGGACATACAATACAATAGGGACATACAATATAAAAGGGACATACAATAGGGAAATAGTTTAAGAATTCGACATACTTATACTTCATTTTTGAAGGCACTGCAGTATAAAAGCCCATCATGCATGCAAAACCTTCACAGGCATCACATAAAGTCTCTATTCTCACCTATCTTCTATCAAGGATGGGTATTTTTGATCCTGTGGAGCTAGGTTAAGCATGTATTCACCGATTTTATAGGTCTGACTATTGTTGCCCTCAAGTAGGTACGAGGTCTCTTCAAAAAATGAAGTAAATATTATTTTTTCTCGAAAAATTCAAAACGAATATAATATCTGTTCGGACTAGTCAGTCCTACTATGACTTCCTTAGATTTAAAGTCGAAGTAAACCAGGAATCAAACGCTTCAAGTCAATATCTTTATTTTATATGCCTTTCAAATTATTGTCAATGTCAAAATCGTCTTTTTTCATAAACAAACTATGATCAATTATTTTAACATACTAAGTGAACAAAATTAATTAAAAGCAACAACATTCTCCCCCTCGTGATGAAATCACTGCATTTGACATATTATTCTTCAATTCATTTCCGTTGAGAATCTGTACCACTGATCAATTTACAGATCTTTGTAACTGGCCTTTTATAGGTTCTTGATTTTGTTTTTTGTGTTTTTTATGTTTCTTCGAGTGTTTCTTCTTCTTCTTATGCTTCTTGTCTTTTTTCCATTTCTTTGTATCCCCTTCATCATCGGAATTACTTCCCGACTTTGCCTTTCAAATTATTGTCAATGTCAAAATCGTCTTTTTTTTATAAACAAACTATGATCAATTATTTTAACATACTAAGTGAACAAAATTAATTAAAAGCAACAACAATATCATTCAAATGTTCGCTTGGTGAAATTTCAATAGTCGTTGCCATATTACAAAATAAATTAAACACAAAATTTCTCGGTGTATACATTGATAATAGTCTGAAATTTGATGAACACCTCAAACAACTGAAGAGTAAGATCTCCTCAGGATGTTATGCAGTTAGAGTGGTTTCAAATGAGTTGGGTTTCCATGTCGCAAAGACCGTTTACCAATTTTTTTATGGCGAATAAAGGATATTCTATTCTATTCTATATTTTGATTTGATTTGAATATTATTTATTCATTAATTTTCATTTTGTGCCCTTCAAAATAGTTCTCCGCAGGTGTAATGCACTGCCAGCGTCTTTTCCAATCCTAGAAGCAGTTCTGAAAACACTTTCCCAAGACCAGAAAGAAATTAGGATCTCTCGACACACGTTTCGCTAACCAAGTTAACATTTGTGTTTATATATGCTAGTTGCCTCACTAATACCTGTTGGTACCTAACTACTACGGCTTCATATTACCTAACTGTACCTGTTATTGTTCATATGCTAAACTACCTGTTTTTTAAATACATATAATTTGTTATGTATTTCCTCTATGTTAGTGACTATCCCGTACATTTTTTTCCTTTTTTTTTATTTGTTCAGAATTTTTACATATAAGAACAAACGGCTGTTCGAAATAGGACCTTTGTTACTATTCATAGAATTCATTCCGCACTCATGTACATGACAACAGGTTTCTGGATGTCAGTTGGCTGACATCATTTCTGGAAAATAGAAAACAAGTTGACAACAGGTTTCTGGATGTTAGTTGGCTGACATCATTTCTGGAAAATAGAAAACAATATGTGTCAGTTCAAGTTAAGAGAAAAAATGAAATCTATAGAGTCAATTCCGAATATCTGAATCTAAGTATGGGAATGCCACAGGCTTCAATAATGGGTCCTCTACTGTTTGTACTCTATGTAAATAACATTGAATCAGTAGTTACGAAGGTCATTATACCGCTTATGCAGATGACTTTTCGCTAGTTATATCTGCATCAGATACAAAAGAATTACAAAACAATTGTGCCAGAATAGAATAGAGTAGAATTGAATTCAATCATCTGTAAAAGCAGAACATAATATGTTACAAAATAATTTGGTACACAAATGTTACTACTTCATTAGACTAGTCAACTAAAATCAGAATATATACCTATTTATAAGACTATTCTACATACACAACCTACTTTCAACGCTAAAATTTGTTAAAAAAGGTTAAA